TAAGCCCACCGATCTCCTGCAGCAGATCTGAGTGTGGAGCCCAGGATGACAGAAAAGCAGACGGGGACTCTGGTGAACACGCAGGTCCCCCGGGGCTGCTGGCGTGAGCACGGTGATCCGTCCGGGCCCTGATTTCCTGTCTCTGAAGTTCTGAAAACAGACGAGAGACCTGACGAGTTCGCAAGCAGGCTCAGAGGGCAGCCGCCTCTCTCCTGCTGGTCTGCTGGTCAGAACTGAACGTGGAAATGCCCTGGCGAGCTCTTAAAGCTGTGCCCCCCGGCCCCACCCTCAGAGGCCCGCGGCTGGGACCTGCCTGGCGCCGCCTGGAGAAGCCGCCGTGGGCCGAGGGCCGAGGGCTGCCCCTGCAGGGAGGGCGAGCTCTGGGAGGCCAGGGAAGGGGCTGGCAGGTCTGTAGCCACTGTACCCAGCACGGCGTGGATTCCGTGGCCCTGGAATCCAGCTGCGGCCTCCCCAGGTCCTGCCAGCGTGGCCACCTCAGGCCTCAGTGGCGGTGTGACAGGTCATGGCCCCTGGGTGGGCATAGGGCTCCCTGCCCCACCCCCTCTTCTCCCCTTCATTCCTGCCCCCGGGGGCGAGGCCCACTGGGACCTTGTTTTCCGACACACCTGCGGCCCGGGGGCTTTCAGTCACTTTCTCTCTGACTGCACACCGCCCTGTGCCCACCAGGCCCCCACTGGGAAGGATCCAGCAAACACCCACCCACTCCTGACGGCAGGGCCCTGGCACCTGGCCTGGCAGAGCCTGTGCCATGGGAATTTCACCCTTGGGCTTGGGGCCTGGAGCCTGGAGCCCCACCCCCACCCCCCCAGGAGCAGGCGGGCCATGACAGAGAACTGTTTGTGCACTGTGGGGCTGTGCTGGCCCGAGCTGACTCCTCACGCTGCCCCCCCAGACACACCCACCCCAGCAATACAGCCCGGCCACGCGGGCCGCCCTCCCCCTTGCCTGCCTCCGACTACGTGTGGCCAGGCCAGTTGCCCGCCTGCTAGCCCAGGCCCGAGCCACATTTTCCTTGTCTGTAAAGTGTTGTGAGCTCTGTAAAGCTGCAGCCGGGCTTGGAGAGAAGTTGGGGTCGGGTGTTGAGCCTTAGACACAGAGGGGGAGCCCCCACCAGCCTGTGTCCCCTCCCTGTGTGAGCTCTTGGGAGGGGCCTTGCTGAGCGACCGTCCCCTCAGGTCACAGAGGACAGCTGGATGCCCTGGGTGCCTGGCGGGGTCGGGGGGTTGGGAGGGGAGGTGTGGGCGCCACGGTCACTCAGCTGTCTCTTGTCTTCTCTGTCTCTCCGGCTCCTCTCCCCGCCCCCTTGCCCCACATTTGCCCCGGGTTTGGCCGCGGGCAGTGCCGACATACGGCCCTTACGGTAGGTCCCACTCTCGGTCTGCACGTCTGTCCTGCACGTCAGTTCTGGTCACTGTTGCGCCTCTGTCCGTAGCTCCTCCTGTGTCCCATCTCCTTCCCACGGGCACTGCGGGTGGGCGCCAGCACAGCTGCCTGCCCCAGCACCGTCGGTAGAGCTTGCCTGCTTCCATCCTGGTCTCATTGTTCTGGAATCCACCCTGCTCCGTTCTGGGGCACAGTGCGTGTGAACGGGGTCGCAGGGACATTCGCGATGCTTCCACGGCGGGGAAGGCGAGGGTGGAGAGAGCTCCTTGGTTAAGTCCAAAAGTCCTGCGGTCCAGAGCTGGGCTCCTCGCTCGTGTGCCGGCACTGTGGCCCGGGCCGTTCTCCCCTCGGAGAGGCAGCGCGGCAGAGCGGAGCGGGGAGGGTTTCCCACGTCATCTCTGTCCTCATGGGAGGGGCCTGGGCGGGGCGTCGGCGGAGCCTGGGCGCTCCCAGCTCCCAGGCCCTCTCGCCCAGCACACATGACTGTGTCCCGGCCCCGGAGCCCGGCCTGGCCTCCCGAGGGTGTCGTGTCTGCCTCCCCGCAGGCCCCCTGGCTGCTCTGTTCCCCAGCCAAAGGACTGGCTCCCACACCTGCCCCTTCTCGGGGGGTTTGGTTGAAGGACAGCCTCAGGGTGGGGTCCGGCCGGGGGTCAGGTGCCTGAGGCTGAGCCACTGCCTGACCCTCCCGCCGCCCCCCGCCCCGCAGGCCGCTGCGCCCCCATGAAGAGCATCTCCAGCAGCCTCAAGGAGACCATGAACCCGCACGACATCGTGCAGGACGCCATCCACAACTTCTCGCCCGCCTACCAGCAGTACACGCAGCAGTCCACGCTGGAGCCCGGGCCCACCTGGCGCGGCGGCGCCCACGGCCTCGCCCGCTCCCACAGCCTGAGCGGCGCCCGCGACAACGAGAAGACGCTCCTGCTCAGCTCCGACGACGAGTTCTAACGCGGGCGGCTGGGCCGGGGCCGGGGGCGGCCGGCGCGGCTTGGGCTGGCCCTTCTGTATCGGACCAGAAACTCACATATCGCTTCCTGAGGAGTGGCCAGACGCCGGCTGCCCCGAGAACAGGCCACGCGCGCCCAGGCCAGGGGCAGAGGACACGGGCCTCCGCTCTCGTGGGGGCCTCGTGGGACTGGGCCAGATGCGCTCGGGGACCAGCGGCTGTGGCCTTCCACCCTCCCCCTGCCCAGACTCCTGCTGAGGTCGGCAGGCCCAGCCCACCCCTCGCACCGTGCAATACCCTGGCCTGGGGCTTCCGGGCCTGCTCCCGTCTCCCGCTCCCCTCTGCCTGATGCTAGATTCGCCTCGCCCCGGCAGGAGGAGGGCACGTGGACGCCCATGGGCCCCTCCTGGCCCACCTGCCTGGCATGCTGCAAGGGTCCAAGCCAGACACCACGTGCCACCGCCCCACCCGGGCAGGTGCTCAGGAAGAGCCCTGCTGGGTGGCCTGACGTGGCCGCGCCCTGCCCACGGCCTGCCGAGGACAGGGGGTCCTTCCTCTTGACGGGTGTGGAGCCCTTGCTTCCGGCTGCCCGGGCCGGCCTCCCAGCCCTCTTCCTGGTGGAGTAGGAGTCTCTGCCGGTCCCGGCTCTCCCTGGCGCTTCTCCCTCCGGTTTCAGGGGACGGGTCTGAGTCTCCGCATTTCAGGCCAGTTTCCGGGGGGGAGGGTGGGAGGGAGTCTGTGCAGCGGGGGCTGGGAGGTGGGAGGTGGGAGGAGATGTCCCCGGCTCCTCTCCTGGGCTCCTGTCTGCACAGGGCCTGGCGCTCTGCCTCATGTGGCCCCCGGCCATCTCTTCTGTGCCTTAGTCACATATGAACGCTCGCTCTCCGCCCCCGTCTGCTCTGGGGCCTTCCTGCTGCTGGCACTCAGAGGACCCTGCAGTGCCGGGCCAGGCACCCTTGGACGGGCCTCAGGAGTGGCCAGGACCACCCCCTCCCTACCCCCCTCTGTCCCCAGACCCCTCAGGCAGGCCCGGCCTAGATGGGCCCCTTGTAGGAGGAGCCTCAGGCCGCCACGCAGGCTCACGTGGGCACAGTGCGCTGGCATTTGACACCTGGAGAGCTCTGGGTTCGGGCTGCAGCCGGCTCTCCAGGGAGGGAGGGTGAGGAGGGCCCTGCCCTGTGGCTTCCACAGGGATCTTCTGTCACTCCCAGAATGGGGGGGCCGCGGGTGGGGGTGTGGATCCATCCCAGCCCGGAGCCCACGCGTGGAGTACTGGACGCCAGCTCTCGGCCGCCTGTCGGAGGGCGGCCCTGGCCGGCTCCCCGCCCCTTGCGTCCCCTCCTCGTTTTCCTTTCTCCTTCCAGGCCAAAGTGTGTTGCTGGGTCCTGCCCCCCATCCGTGCCTGCTGGTGTGGGGGTGGGGTGGGGTGGGGTCGGGGAGCGCAGGGGCGGGAACGCGTGTCCACTGCTCCGTCTCCTTCCCAGGACGCATAACCTACCTTGTCTTTGTTGTTTTAGTTTTTTCCAGATAGAGTAGCTCTTTGTACATAAAAAAATACTTGAAAATTAATTGTATGACGTATGAGAAGACAGAGCCTAGTTTTGTATCTCGTTGTATGACTGCCCTGAGCTCCACCAGAAAGCCGCTCTATTTTGGTCTCTGTGACATTTTAAATGCGTGACAGAAGTGAGCAGATAAAGTGAGGAAGAAGTATATATATATATATGAGATAATATAGATTGTACCGAAACCCTCCTGCCTCGGCTGCGCTGCTTCCAACCCCTGCGTGTGCTGGCCTGTGTGGGGCGGGGTGGCAGGAAGCCCTCTCCCTCCCTGTGTGCCATGGGTGGGGGTGGGGGCTTGTCACATGGCCTCTCCCCAGCCGCCTGGCCACCAGGGGCCCCTCCAGCCAGGCTCTTCCTCCTCCCCCGTGCCCATCCTCCACCCTGGGACGCGGGTGTCTGGCCGCGCAGGCCTTCCTGGGACCTGGCCCGCGGCTGACAGGGGCGCTCAGGAATGCGGCGTGGGTGGGGGAAGTTCCTAGCCCGCCCCGGGCCCAAGGTAAACAGTCCCCTCTGCCCCCCTGGCTCCAGTGCTTTTCCAGAACCCACCCTCCCCCCAGTCCTGCTCACAGCCTGGGCGCCCAGTGCCTTCCCCACCCGTGCCCTGGGGTGGATCCGGTGAGGCTGCAAGAAGCCAAGTGGGCGCCCCAGGCTCCACGGCGCGGGGCTGCTGGGTTCAGACGCCAGTGCCGCGACGCCCCAGAGGGGCCGGCAGGTTGGGCTGACACTGGCGAGCGGGCCAAGGGAAAGGCCGGGGCTGCGCAGAGGGAGCCGCTGCCTGCCCCTCCCAGGACGTGGCCATATTTCTGCTTCGCTGGGAGGGTGACTCCAGGAGCCCAGGAGTTCTGCTCTGGGAGGGGCTGCGCTCGCTGAGGGGACGCCCAGGGACCTGAACCCTAGATTTCCTCGTCCTGGCCTTCCCCAGGGCGCCTTGTAAGTCAGCGCGGCCCTGGCCTGTTCCCGCTTCCAGGCCACCCCACGCCGCCGTGCGCAAGCCAGAGATGGGCCTCGCCCTCCCACCTGCCAGAGGGTCCCCAGGGGGCGAGAACCGACCCATCCTAGGCCCCCCACTCACACGCAAACACGTCTCTGTGGAAAAAGGACTTTATTCAGGAAGTCTACAAAATACAGAATGCGGATAACGCGCTCACTGTAAGTCAGAAAATAAATAACGTCTGGGGGCCGGGCAAGGGTGGCTTTTTTTTTTTTAAATACTTTTGTGTGTGTGTTGTTGCCATCCAGCTTTCCCTAAATATAAGATAAAATATTGTGATTTATTTGCAGGTATAAAATATAAATCCCAGCTCAGGGCCATGTGCCACTTTCCCCAGGAGTGGGAGTTTGGGCTCTGGCTGGGGAGAATAACTTAGATTCGTGCAATAAATAACCAGTGGGGGGCAGGTGTATACAGTGGGGGGGGGGCAGGAAAAAGGCCATCCGTGCACTGGTCGCCCCACCCCATAGCGGGCAGGGACGGACCCAGGGACTCACACCAGGCAGCAGGACCACAGGCTCTGCCTCCTCACCTCCACCTGCCACACGGTCACTTCCCTCGTCCCTTCTCTTTGGCCAGCTCCAGAGCACCCTGGCTGCAGGGAGAGCCCAGGGTGGCCAGGCCAGTTCCCTCCCTCTCTTCCGTCTGTATCACTTTCTTGGTCCCTTTGCTTCTCCTCCTGTCCCTTGCAGAGAGCTGGCTCCCAGACCAGGGCAGCCCTCCGCCACCTCTCCAAGTCCCTGTCCACCGTCCCGTGGAAACCGTGGCTGGAACCCTGCAGCAGAGTGGGAACTGGTGTTTGGTTCCAGCTCACTCACTCACTGAATGTGGCCCCAGGCACCGTCCCCGTGAGTCACCGGGCTTCAAAGGTCGTATCCAATGACCAGGCTTTGGAAGGCCAGACACCCCCACAACCCAAGGCGGAGGTGGGAGCAGGAGGGGGGTCTTCCGGGCAGCGTCTCAGCAGGACAGCCCCACGTCAGGGACAGGGCCAGACCTGGTGTCAAGGGCGCATATTGGCACAATCGGAGCAGCTACCCAATAAGGGGTGCCCCCTTCTCGGGGCCGCCGTGTCCCATTCCTCCCAGCATGAGGAGGGGCAACTCCCACGGTCCCACGGAGACGGCCGGAGCCCCGCCCCCACGACCGACCGAAGTTGCCCCTCCCCAAGGCACTGGGTCCCAGTTTCGGGGGCTGCAAGAGGAAGACGCGGCCCGGGAGGAACTGTGGGTTCGCCACAGGGGCAAGTGGCTGCAGAGCAAGGGGGCCCTGGGGCAGAGACCTCGCTTAGGCACTTCGGGAGGGGCGATGGGATGGGGCTGGGGGCGCGGCTCGGGCGGGGGACGGGGCGGGCACTAGGAGGAGCAGGAGGCGGGGCCGGGGCCGGGGGCCGGGCCGGGGCCGAGGGCCGGCGCGGACTTGACGATGGTGATGACGCTGGCGGGCGCCACGAGCGCGGCGGGCCCGCGCGCGGCGGCCACGGAGCGCGCGAAGCCCTGCAGCGCCTCGCACTTGCCGCGCAGCGCGTCGAGCTCCAGGCGCATGGCGGCGTTCTCGCGCGCCAGCTTGTCCACCTCGCGCTCCAGCTCCGACTTCTGCTTCTGCAGCTCCTCCTTCTGGCACACGCGCTTCACGCGGCAGCTGGCGGCGTAGCCGCGGTTCTTGAGCGTGCGGCGCCGCTGCTTGAGCCGCGTCACCTCCTCGGCCGAGAGCCCGCGCAGGTTCCGGTTCAGCTCGCGCACCGACAGCCCCATCAGCGCCTCGTCCGACAGGTGCGGCGTGTTCTCGCTCAGCTCGCGCTTGATCTGCCGGCAGGGGGCACCTGAGGCCCGGGCCGCGCGCGCCCGCCCCCGCGCCCCGCGCGCCCCGCGCCCGCCCGCCCCGGCTGGTGGCTGGAATCCGGAAAGGGGAAGAAATGCAGCCGACGCCGGATCCGAGCGCCAGAGAAGGCCGCCCCCGGCTCGTCCCGCATTCCGACCCAGCACCGACCGCTCCTGAGCTCGGCCCGGAAAGCACCTTTGAAAGGGGAAGTGCTCGGCCCTGGGGGCGCACAGCCCCCCTGCGCCCCGGGCCTCCCGGTCCGCAGCCCGGGGGCCCTTCCCATGACGTCACGAGTGCCTGACGCCTGCGGAGCCCCCTGGAGGATTCCAGGAAGGGAAGGGGAAGTGAGCGCCCCGGCCGGGCCACCTCCTCACCTTCAGGGCTTTGCTGGATAAGGGATCCACAGACATGTTGGCAGCCGGTGCCCTCGGGGCTGGAGACCTAGGGGAGAAAGGAGGCCACCAGTTGTTTTTTGCTCCCCACTTAGAGTAAAATCCAACTCCTCCCTTAGCATTCGGAGCCCCTGCTGTGTTGGAGCGCACGCCCAGCCCCTTCCTCTGCACACTGGCCCAGCCACATGCTGTCCCCCGGCCTCCTCAGAGGGACCCTCTACCACTCAGGCCCGAGCCCAGGGTCACCTCCTCGGGGAGGTCTTCCCTGGCCGCGGGGCTGAAGCGCCCCTGTGTCACTCGCTGCACCTGTGCACTGAGTGGTTTTGTGGTTCGTCTCTCTCCATCCGTTTTCCCAGGAGGGCAGAGGCTTTGCCTGTCTCACCACACGTCGATACGTCTGACTCCGGGGCAGTGCAGAGCAGGCGCCCCACAAACCCACAGCCCGCAAGTGGGCACTCCTGCCCCGGCCCAGCTGTGATCTGACTTGATTTCTGCAAGTTCTCCGGGGCCAGCGCTGTGGCGTAGCCGGTAAAGCTGTCACCTGCAGTGCCAGCATCCCACATGGGCGCAGGTTCAAGTCCCGGCTGCTCCACTTCCGATCCAGCTCTCTGCTGTGGCCTGGGAGAGCAGTGGAGGGTGGCCCAAGTCCTTGGGCCCCTGCACCCGCGTGGGAGACCTGGAGGAAGCTCCTGGCTCCTGGCTTCAGATCGGCACAGCTCCGCTGTTGCAGTCAACTGGGGAGTGAACCAGCAGATGGAAGACCTCTCTCCCTCTCTCCCTCTCTGCCTCTCTGCCTCTCTGCCTTTCCTTGGCTCTCTGTGTGACTCTTTCAAATAAATAAATTAAAAAAAAAAGTTTTCCTTCAAGTATAACCTACATACAGAGAAGTACACAAAACACACGTATAGCCAAGGACTTCACAATGTCCCCAGCACCCCATGGACACAGCGCGGGGCCAGTCCCCAGCCCTCCCCAAGCACAGGGGGCGTGGCCCAGCAGGGCCCCAGGCAGCGGGGCCCCAGGTGTGGCAGCAGCTGTTTGCCCAGGCGTGCACCTGGCACTGGGGGCGCAGAGGTTTATAAACACTCGAGGACGGCACCTGCCGGGGTCAGCGGTCACTGCTCTGGGACAGGCAAGGCCTCCCAAGGCCCCTTGAAAGCAGCTACCCTGTCCCTGCCTGGTGACCAGGCCTCCTGCAGTGTGACCCGAGCGCGCTCCTGGGCCAACCCCCGTGAGGAGTGGGAGAACACCAGGAAGCTGCCTGGTGACTGGAAGCCCGGCGTCCTAGACGCTGTCATTACAAGACCCCAGGAACTGGAGGCAGGGTGTGAAGGGCCGGGGCCAGGCCCCGGCTCCCTGACACGGCCGGCAGGACCCGGATGTGTGCTGGGGACCCTGGAAGAATGCAAGAGCAACAGGCCCTGGCCCGCACACGCCGGGGCTTGTGGAGGGCGGCCCGCAGAGCTCTCTGCACCACGTGCCGCCCCGCGTGTGACCCAGGGCAGCACGTCCATCAGGGCAGCTGTCCTCTCCCAGCAGCCTCCACGGCACCCGTCCCAGTGGTCTCCACGGCCACAGCGGTGCGCCCCAGCACTGGCTGCTCCTCCAAGGGACCAGGGAGCTCCCTCCGCCCGGCATGCCTGCTCCCGGGACAGCCACGGAGCTTGCTTCAGATCCCACGTTCCCAGCCACTGGTGCCCACGGCGCGTGCACACACACAGCCTGTCTCCCTCCCCAGCCTCGGGTTTCTCTAGAGCACCCTGGGCGTCGCTGATGACCGATCCTCCTGTGTGTTGCGTCTGTGGAATGGAGGTCCTGTGGCCCACAGCTGCCTCCCGGGGCTTGGGGCAGGGGCCTGCCAGCCCCTCCCCGCCCACACGGCCAGGGGGTCCAGCAGCTCCAGGGAAAGGAGGAGCGGTTCAGGGGCGGGAAGCTGGCACCCACAGGGATCTCAGGCCAGCGGGCTCTAGGGACTTCCCGTGCGGTGGCCAGGAGGGGCGAGGCCCAGGGTCCCAGGCCAGCGCTCAGCAGCCGTGGTGTCCTGTGCGGCTCCCCGGTGGGGAAGGCCTGCTTCCTGGTGGAGCTCTGAGCTGTAGCCCTCACTGCTGAACAAGTGGGCTCCGCCTGGGCCCGGGCCTCAGTTTCCCTGCCTAGCCCCTCCAGTCCCTGTGGGCTCGGGCCTGGCTTGCCCAGCAAGCTGTCTCTGGAGGCCTCCATGCCTGCCCCCTCACTATCCCTCCTGCCTGGCCCAATCATATGGACCCCACACTGCCCTGACCAGTCACTGACATGTCCAGACCCCGCCCTCCGCTACCCTGCCCGTCAGAGCCACACACGGCCCTGCCACACAGTGCCCCAGGGAGCTTCCTGCCCTGTGAACCCTCCTGTGCCACCACCAGACTAGAACCTGCTGTGGCTCCCACTGTCCTGAGGCCAGAGGCCGGCCCATCCCCAGGCTAGTGCACAGCCTCAACTGTGCACCCCAGCCATGTGGGATGTCTTCCTCTGACCCCACCCGGGCACTCCCCCCCCTCCCCCTCCTCTGTCGGGCAGGCTCCTCTTCATCCTTGTGCCCTCCTCCTCCTCCAGGAAGCCCTCCCTGACCTTTAGGCCTTGTTAGGCACCACCCCCCACCTCCACCCCCCTCTCCCCACCACACAGCCATGGGCTGTTTCCTTGTCTCTCCACCAGGCAGGGAGCTCCAGGGGCTGAACCAGGATGGCTGGCTGGGCGGAGTCACTGACACCATCACCCAGCTGGTCAGCGTCCAGGCCTGGCCAGACACAGTCTGCGAGAAAACCTCAGGCCAGCCCCCAGTTCCTCCTCCTTCCCATCTGTGTCCCTTCCGAGGGGTAGAGACGGCACACGGGCGGGGCGGGGGGCGGGGCACGGCAAGGGAGCAAGGTGGGGAGTGGGAGACGGAAAGAGCACTGAGTGGGGGCACGCCCTGTCCGTCTTCTCCAGGCCACCTGACCTTGGCCGAGACTCCACCTCTCCGGGTGTCCACTCTCCTCTGCGCGGTACCTGCCTGGCAGGTTCTGGTGGAGCGGAGGGGTGCATGCAGTGGCGGTCAGCCAGCGCCCGGGAGGGCAGGAAAGCGAGAATCCGAGCTGCCGGAGCCGGGGCCACAGCCAGCCCTGGCCGCGCTCTGCCTCAGCAGCTCCCAGCTGCCCGGGGCCAGCCCAGGGACGGCCCTTACAGCCCTAGGCCCCACCTCCTCACTCCCCCAGGGGGCGGCGGAGACCCAGAGGGGCCATCGCTTGCCTGAAGTCCCATGGGCACCTGTGAGGCCTGGACTGAGTGCCGGCTCCTCTGACGACTGTGACTTGATGCCTGGCAGCCCCCTGGGCCACACAGCCAGCACGGGGTGGAGTTCAGGACGGGGTTCAGTGTGAGGTTCAGGACGGAGGCCACCCTGGTGCCCACTGCCGGGCTTCGAGGGGCCAGGCTTTGGGCGGGGCCTGCCAGGACACCCGCATCCGGCTGCACAGAGGGGCCGGCCGCGAGGGGACCCCTGATGATGGGGTGATCCCTGATGATGGGCACAGCACGGAGACACTGGCAGGGGCCACACGCTCGGGAGCCGCGAGCGGCTGGCTCGCCCACCACACCCCTCTCCCCCGCCCCTGCCCACTCATGGCTCATCAAGCCCACACGTACTCCCAGGAAGTGACACAGAGCCTCTGAGTCCTTCTCAACACAGCCCTGCCTGCCCCTCTCGCTGCTGGGGCTGGCTGGGACACGGACCCCAGGAAGTCCTCCGCACTCCCCTCCAGCCCGTCGGCTCCCGCAGGCCCCCGTGCCCAGGGGATGTCACGGAGGGAAAGTCACAGAGGGAAAGTCCCACAGGCTGCCGCGCTGTGCTGGGAGCCCAGGAGCCTGGGGCTTCCGGCCCTGCCGGCCTGGGGCTTGCACAGCAGCAGAGCCGGCCTCGGCCGGGTGGCTGCGGGTGGCAGTGGGGGACTGGCGCCCCGGGGCCTGCTCCCACCCCGGCCAGCGCTCTCTCAGGGCCTCCCTTCCTGGCCTCTTCTCTTCCCTCGGAGGCTGGCAGAACCCCTCCCAGGGTCTGCAGGTTCCTAACCTTCTTTGGAGGCCTGGGGAGTGAGCTTTCTCTTGGGGATTGACAGAGGCCTCGCCCAATCAGCAGCCAGCGGCTCTCGCGCGCAGCCCCGGCCCCGGCCCCCGGGCCCACCCCAGAGACAGCCTGGAGACGGCCCACCCACTGGCACGGCTCCTCCTGGCTGCCGAGCCATTCCGCTTGCGCGCTGTGAGGACACAGGGAAAAAATGTGTTTTCCTGGGTCTTGGCAGCTGGCGCTGGGGGCACTCCTCCCTGCTGGAAGGGGAGCAGGGCAGGGGGAACCAAGCACAGCAGGGAAGTGACGGCGGGGGGCTCCAGCCCGGGCTCTGCCCCCCACTCACATCCCGGCCTCCCCTCCCCGGCATGCCGACCGCCCCTCAGCCTGAGGTCCCGTTCCCACAGTCATGGCCTCCAAGCTGGTGGTATCCTCGGAGCACCAAGACCACCAGCGGAGGAAGGCCTCGGAGGAGGGTAAGGAAATCAGTGCAGGATTCCTGGAGGCGGGGGCGTGACAACACAAACTCCTAGCCCCTTCTGTGCTTGCACAGCCAGAGACCACTTCTCCTTTCGGATGGCCCAGGACCACAGCCGCCTCCACCTCCACGCCCTGTCCTCCTCGGGAGCTGTCAGGAGGACTGACACAGACCCACACCGCTGCCCGGCTGCCCCCCGCTCCAGCCCATACAGGCCAGGCTCTCCGCCTGCTCCCAGGATCTCAGGCTAACATCAGCTGAATGAATGGGCATACATCCTGTGTACGTGTTCCCCAGACACATGGCAGCGTGTGTGCGTGTGTGTGCATGCATGTGTCCGCGTGCGCGCGCGTGTGCATGTGTGCGTGCGCGTGTGCGCATGCATGTGCGTGCGTGTGTATGTGTGTGCGTGTGCATGTGCGTGCGTGCGTGCGTGCGTGTGCGTGCGTGTGTGAAGCCCCCAGCCCCACTCCCTTTGGGGGACAGCGTCAAGACGCCAGGCCCTTTCCCCCCTCAGGGCGCGGAGCTCTTCGGGAACATGGACCCAGTGCTCACGCACTGCGTCTGCAAACATCCAATAGCTGTGGCGTGACGGGCGCCGAGGGTCCACGGGGATCACAGCCCCTCACGCCAAGGGCTCCTCGGACAATCACCACCCATCGCTCGCTGGTCACCTCCTCAGGGACGCCTCCCTGATTGCCTTGGCTAAGTCAGAGCCCCGTCCCTACTTTCAAACCACAAGGACTTCCCCCAGCGCCTGGTCCATTGGCAAGGCGAGGCTAAGAGTGTTGGCACTGGGGCAGCCCACGCTGTCCTCGGCCCCGTGGACCTGGGGTGCGTCTGAGCGGCTGCAGCTCCCAGTGCTAACTTTCCATCTGCGACTGAGTCAGCGCCACTTCCCCTCAGCCCGTGACCCGCGGCCCTATTTGGGGATGTTCCCTGCCCGGCTTTGGCTCCCGGCCCCGCATCCTGCTGGCCCGGAACTGTGGGCTTTGCCTTCTCTCGTGTGCCCCCGGGAAAGAGGCTGTGCACAGAGGCGGCCTTAACGTCCCCTTCCTACCTGCCCTCTGCCACTCTGGGGGTTGCACACGGGGACACCGAGGGTCCCAGCCACGGGCGCAAAGCCCCAAAGGCTCAAAGCTGACAGACGACAGACGACCCTCGCCCTGGCAACCTTAGCTGCCCCCCGCCCCCGGTTCTGCAGCCTGTGCGTGGGGAGAGAGGGAGCCAGGTGAGCGCCCAGAACCCTCAGCAGCTGCCACCGGGCCAAACGCGTGCTTTCTGCAGCTTACAGGGAAAGGGGCCAGGTCAGTGCCCACCCTTCACACTCCGCCTGCTGACCCTGCCGGGCCCCAGCTGACAGCCCTGGCTCTGCCGCTGGCTGCTGACCGGCTTCTGCGGCCCGGCTGTCCGTCCATTCGCCCCGACTGGGTGGTCCCACCTGTGCACTACCAGGAGGGCAGAAACCAGCCCTGCCTATCCTCCACCACCCAGAATGCTCGCCTGGGACCCTCCTCTCCCCCCAGGCCTGTCTGTTCCCCTGGGACAGGGGATGAGCAGCCCCGGGGGTGAGTGAGGTCTTAAGGGTCCACCCTCCCCAGGGAGCCGGGAAATCTGGGGATGAGACCCCGGGCTCCAGCACACCTTAGTTCAGGGACCCAGCAGGGTGCCAGGTGAGAGGTGCCCAGCCCAGCTGGGTGAGGTCTGGCCAACCGCGCCCCACCCTGGGTCTGTAGGCACAGGCTGTGGGTCACATGGCTGCGGCCCTGGGAAACCCCACGGAGAGCGGTGGGAGGGGCAGCCCTGGTTGGCAGGAAAGAGTGGGAGGCGGGGAAGAATCCCTGGACCCGGTGCGATCACGGACCCGGCCGCCGCCTTCGCTGTCTTCATTCTGCCTCGGTCCTGTGGACGCCCTGGGGCACGCCCTCTCCTAGGTACACACGCATGGACACCATGGACACACACAGGCACGCCCGCTGGCACCAGGGGCACACGCACGCGCGCCCCGCCCCGAGGTACACCGCGCGCGCCCCGGGCCGGATACCTGGACGCCGGCCAGGGAACACACGCAGCCGCCGGCCGCGGACGTAAACACACCGCGCACGCAGGACGGCGGGCGCGGGTCCAGGGCCGCTGCCCCCGGCGTCGCCTGCCCGCCCTCCCGCGGCCCCCGCGGCCTCGGAGGGGGCCCGCTCTGCCCCGCCCGCCCAAGCCGGCTGCGGCCGCGGCGGGTCCAGTCTTGGCCCCCCGGCCCGCGCCCGCCGCCGCGCGGTGGATCCGCGGGAGCCCCGACGGAGCGGGCCCGGGCGCCCCGCCTCAGCTACGACCCCCGGCGCGGGGACCCCGCCGCCTCGCGGCCCCGCGCGCAGCCCCGGCCCGCGCCCCGCGTCCTCACCGTCTCTCGGCCCGCTAGGCCTGGCGCCCCGCGCGCGTCTCGCCGCTGCCCCGGCCGCTGTCCGGCCCCGCGCCCTGACCCTCTGCTCTCCGGCCGAGCCGGGTCCCGGGAGCGCCGCGCCGAGTTTTGTTGTGGGGCGGGCGGCTCAGAGGGCCTGGGAGCGCGGAGTTGTAAGGCGAGCTTCCCGGAATTACTCACTCACAGGATTCCTTTCATTCATAAAAACCCAGTCATGCGGTGACGTCACCCCGCGGCCGCCCGCCCCGGCCCCGCCCCCGGGAGGCCACGCCCCGAGAGGCCACGCCCCAGGGAAAAGGCCACGCCCCGGGGCCGCCTCCCTCCCTCCTGCAAGCCTGCCCCAGCCCCGGTTCCAGCGCCCCCGGGATGCGTTCGCGGGACGCCTCGCGAGAGCTCGCGTGGGTGGGGGTGTCATTTGCTTCCCTGGCTGCCGCTTTGAGCCTTTTGTCCGGATGACCTCATCCAGTCCCGTGATTTGTTATCTATTTATTGAAAGGCAGGGAGCCGAGACAGCCGGTAAAGAGGTTGTCCATGGGCCGGTTCACTGCCCACATGCTGACAGCAGTCGTGGCCGGGCCAGGCGGCAGCCAGGAGCTGGGAACTCCACCCCGGAGTCCTAGCCACCCACCTGCTGCCTCCCAGGTGCGCAGAAGCAAGGAGCCGGGATGGGGCGCGGAGCGGCGCCCGGGGCTGCAGGTGTGTGTCCGTCAGGCCCCGATTCATATTTTCAGGGCTGACGGCTTCTCTGAGTTTGCGACTCAGCCAACCACCCACCCCGCATCCCGCGGCTGTCAGTTGGGACTGCGATCACAATGCCAAAGCCCAGCTCCCGACCACAGACCCCACCCCCGCTGCCGCCAGTCACCCCATGGGGTTCCTCTCCCTGGTCCTCCCTTCCTCCCTACTCAGGAATGAGCCCGTCTGCCCCCGCCCAGCCCCCTGCCCACCACCTGCTGGTCGGCTTCCCTGGACGCCGGCAGAGCCTCCCTGTGGGCTCCCTGCCCTGCTCCCCAAGGCCCTCTCCGTCCACGAGCCAACGTCCTCCTGGGAATGGAGGTCAGGTGTTTTCCACACCGCCTCTGGCTGCACACCCTCAGTGGCCTGTCTTCCGTTAGTAAGGAATTGTGCCTGTAAGGCCGTCACAAAACACAGCAAGCAGCGGAGTAAGGGAGAGGACTTATTGGCGGAAACCCGACAGACTAGGGGAGGGGCGAAGAAGGAGAGCGTAGGGGGGAGAGAGAGAGAGAGAGGGAGAGAGGGAGCCACGTGCAGGAACAGGTCTTCTTAAAACTTTGCCAGGGGCGGGCGGGGAAGTAGGAGCAGTGAATCCCATTGGATGGGGGTGGAGCTGACACCTGTGGTGGGGCCAAGGGGTCACCTGGCTTCCAGCAATGGCGGGGGGGGGGGGGGGACTAGAGCCTAGGATGGCGTCTGGGGTGTAGATCGCACCACAGATAAGAGATAAGACTGTGCCATTTTACTAACAGCACCTCTCGGGGCTGGCACTGTGGCTGGGTAGGCTAAGCCTCCGCCTGTGGCACCGGCATCCCACATAGGCACAGGTTCTAGTCCCGGCTGCTCCTCTTCTGATCCAGCCCCCTGCTAACAGCCTGGGAAAGCAGCAGCAGTTGGCCCAAGTGCGTGGGCCCCTGCTACCCATACGGGAGACCCGGATGGAGTTCCTGGCTCCTGGCTTCAGCCTGGCCTAGCCATTGTGGCCATTTGGGGAGTGAACCAGCAGATGGACGACCTCTTCTCTTCTCTTCTCTTCTCTTCTCTTCTCTTCTCTTCTCTTTCTCTGTAACTCTGCCTTTCAAATGAATAAATAAATAATTTTTTTTTAAAAAAGGAGGCCTTTCCTGACTTCCCTGGCAAAAGGAATCTTGAGCTGAAATTTGTTTTTATGTTACGTTATTATCGCTACAGGCTATCACCTTGTTCATGCACTTGCTTTTATTTCTGGTCTGTCTTCCCCAGCCAGAAGGTTGAATTTGCCGACAGGAGGACCTCGTCTTCCTGTTCACCGCTGCATGTGCAGTACCTGGAACAGTTCTTGACACATAGTGGGCCCTCGTGAGTGTGTGTTGAGGGAAGAAATGTGTGTATAGAAAGACTTTCCAGGGGCCACCACTGTGGCACAGTGGGTTAAAGCCACCACCTGCAGTGCCGGCATCCCATATAGGTGCTGGTTCGAGTCCCGGCCCTCCACTTCTGATCCAGCTCTCAGCTATGGCCTGGAAAAGCAGTAGAAGATGGCCCAAGTGCTTGGGCCCCTGCTCCTGTGTGGGAGACCCGGAGGAAGCCCCTGGCTCCTGGCTTCGGATCAGTGCAGCGCTGGCTGTTGCGGCCAACTGAGGTGTGAACCAGCAGATGGAAGACTCTCTCTCTGCCTCTCTGTAACTCTGTATTTCAAATAAATAAATAAATCTTAAAAAAAAAAAAAAAAGAAAAAGACTTTCCAAAGTCAGCTGGGAAGTGCGAGAGCTGGATTGGAGTCCAGGCCTGGCTCCCTTTGGGGCCAAAGTTAAGGGGCAGGGTGCGGTCCCATTTTAAAAGTGGGGCTCTCTGGCTTGAAGGGGCTCCCTTTGGTCAAATCAAGTTCAGTTTGAACACCAGCATAAAGGATGATGCTAACGCATGCTCACCCACCGAGTCAGATCAGAATCCGTGAGTCCACAGCAGTATAAGTAGGTGAGCAGGAGAGAAGAGAAAGGCTGTTGTTTGAGTTTCATTTATTTATTTGAAAAAGAGCGAGACAGATCTTCCATCCACTGGCTCACTCCCCAGACGGCTGCAGGTCTGGGCCAGGCCAAAGCAGGGAGCCAGGAGCTCCATCCTGGGCTAGCACAGGGCTGGATGGGACGTGGAACAGCTGGGATCCAGACTGGCGCTCCTGTGTGGGATGCCGGTGTTGCAAGCTTGGTTAACCCACTGCACCATGACGCTGGCCAGAGAAAGATCTGTAAGTAGAAGGAATAATAGAAAGTGACCATCAGACAACGCCACCGTAATACGGATAGCAGCAGGAAGCATCGATGGATACGGACATGTGATGAGAGACAAGACATGGACATAACTTTGAGATATTTTCCCACAAGATAGCTATCAATTGTACAGGGAGGCCGGCGCCACGGCTCACTAGGCTAATCCTCTGCCTGCGGTGCTGGCACCCCGGGTTCTGGTCCCGGTCGTGGCGCCGGATTCTGTCCCTGTTGCTCCTCTTCCGGTCCAGCTCTCAGCTGTGGCCTGGGAAGGCAGTGGAGGATGGCCCAAGTGCTTGGGCCCTGTACCCCATGGGAGACCAGGAGAAGCACCTGGCTCCTGGCTTCGGATCGGCACAGTGCACCGGCCATAGCAGCCATTTAGGGGGTGAACCAACGGAAGGAAGACCTTTCTCTCTGTCTCTCTCTCTCTCACTGTCTAACTCTGCCTGTCAAATAAAATAAAAATAAAAAAAGTAGACTAGTGTTAAATGCAGGCTAGTGTTAAATGTAGACTATTGTTAAATGCAGACTAGTGTTAAATATAGACTAGTTTTTTTAAAAGATTTTTTTTTCATTTTTATTTTTTTGACAGGCAGAGTGGACAGTGAGAGAGAGAGAGACAGAGAGAAAGGTCTTCCTTTTTGCCGTTGGTTCACCTTCCAATGGCCACCATGGCCGGCACGCTACGGCCAGTGCATTGCGCTGATCCAAAGCCAGGAGCCAGGTACTTCTCCTGGTCTCCCATGGGGTGCAGGGCCCAAGCACCTGGGCCATCCTCCACTGCACTCCCGGGCCACAGCAGAGAGCTGGCCTGGAAGAGGGGCAACCGGGACAGAATCCGGCGCCCCGACCGGGACTAGAACCCGGTGTGCGTGGCGCCGGCTTATTTATTTATTTGAAAGTCATAGTTACACAGAGAGAGGAGAGGCAGAGAGAGAGGTCCTCCATCCAATGGTTCACTCCCCAATTGGCCGCAATGGCTGAAGCTGTGCCGAACTGAAGCCAGGAGCCAGGAGCTTCTTCTGGGTCTCCCACGTGGGTGCAGGGCCCCAAGGACTTGGGCCATCATCTACTGCTTTTCCAGGCCACAGCAGAGAGCTGGATCGAAAGAGGCGCAGCCGGGACTAGAACCAGCACCCATATGGGATGCCGCCGCTTCAGGCCAGGGCATTAACCCGCTGAGCCACAGCGCTGGCTCCAAATGTAGACTAATATTAAGGATTGAATTGTGTTCCTGTGTGTTAAGGTCCTAACCCCTAATACCCCAGACTGTGTCTGTATTTGGAAATAAGGTGTTAGTGGAGGTGAGTGAATTAAAATAAGGTGCTTAGAGTGGGCCCTGATTCAGCCTGACCGATACCCCTGGCAGGAGAGCAGCACATCTGGATGGCTAGGAACAACGGCGGGCGCAGGCACGGGGACAGACTCCGGCGAACGCAGCTCCCGCAGGGCATGGGGCAGCAGCGGGGCCAGGGGAAACCAGGCCGGGGATCGCAGACTCCAGCCTGCAGGCCGTGAGAGCAGACAGCTCCGTCCATCCTTCCGTCCGTCTGTGAGCCCCGGCTGTGATGTTTCCTGTGGCAGCCTGAGCTGACCAGTGTGGAGAGATGGGGGAGGGCGGGGGTTTCAAGCAAATTCGATCAAACGTTCACATTTGGGGAATCGTGGAGAAGAGCATGGGAAACTCTCCCATGTTCCTGCTGCTTTGCT